TTCATCTTTCTTCTCAATGACATCATCAACAAAAACTTCAGATAGAAGTGAAGCGTTCGAATTTCCCCTGTACACCATGATGTTGGTTGGTTCTTGTTGACCTTAAACCTGTCTTTGCTTACTTCTTTGTTTTGGTTATATCTCCTATTGATTTGATTTTCGTTCCTATGTTTGTGCATCAAACCAATAGTCGATGCAAACAAAACAAAGAAGTAAACAAAGACAGGTTTAAGGTCAACAAGAACCGATCAACATCGAGATGTACAAGACAAGCTGCGAATCACATGTGGAGAAATCGAACACTTCACTTCTATCTGAAGTTTGTGTTGATGATGTCGTTCAGAAGAACGATGAAAGCTTCACGACCAAACCATCCATCTCAGAGAACAAAACTACTTTAAAATCGTCCAACTGAGCTACAAACCTTCTCCACCATCTCATATGTATTGAACTATATGGTTACAGTTTTCCATAATGTTTTAAACTCACAATAAGTGTACCGTATCCAGAGCTTCTTATTTCATTTTACAGTTATTTGCAAATATTACTTTCTAAATATATCAACTTAGTACAGCTTAAAATGTCAGATAAAAAAGACACAAACATGGCATACATTAGAGCTTGGGATGAATTTTCAAGTGATAATCTCATTTCAGTAATGTAGCACTCATGTATTAAATAAATGACAGATTGACAAAAATGATGAATACAAAACATCCATTGAATATTGAATGAATTACTTACTTACTTACGCCTGTTGCTCTTCGTGGGGTAGCATAGCCCACCCATCAGCACTCTTCATCCAACCCTGTCCTGGACAATCCTTTCTAGCTCTTTCCAGTTGGTTTTCATCTCTTCATATCTGCTTCTACATCCGACGTGATGTGTTCTTTGGTCTTGAATAGGTTCCAGATGGCCTCAGACATTGATGAACAAATACCTATGACTTAGGTACAGTAATTTAGTTCTGATGTAAGAATACTTAGTGTTCCTGATTATAGTATCGTTTAGGTATACTTGTACTCTCTAAACTGGATGGTTTACTCATGATGATGGTTCTAGTTTGTATTTTCCAAACTAAGATTCTTGAGATTGTGATTGATTATTACTAAGTAACATGTTCATCAAAGTATCGAAGTATACTGATCTGTTTGACTTATCTTACAATCATAATCATAATATACCATGTACAAATAATGCATTAGTTCAAATTATCGTATTTAGATAAAGAGAAGTAAAAGAATTCATAATAACATAGTAACAATGATAATGAGAAAGATTAAACATTATGAAATGGTTAGAGAATAGATAATGAAAGCTTAATATTAAGAAATACTGATTTATGTTGGTCGATTGTGAATTATGTAGTCAATACCAAATCTATAATTTGTGGGAAACATTTGAGCAACTTTAGACTGACCTTGAGAGCATCCACTTAATAACCAAGACCGAATGAAGGTTATGAACCAGTGTGAGGAATTCGAATTATGACTTACAGTTGATCGTTAGAGTTAGGAATTACACTTGGCGTTTTCATCATGAACTGACATCAGCTATAATGCCATAAATCTATTTAGCCAAATGGATAAGTGAATTTTGCGCCAAAATCCGTGACCTGTTATCTTACACCTGATTAGTTCATCCATAAATTATAGTCTGACCCTTTTTTTCTATCAAATATCAAAATGAGAATTTTGCGTGATGTTACTACTGTTATCTATTGAGTAGTATTAAGTAGCAAACCATGGTCTCAAAAAAAATCTTGTGGTTTACATAGTCAATTAGGTGGGATATGTAATTTTCATCCCGAAATAATAATAAAAAAGTAAAGAATTATAGCAAAATTAATCACTCCCTAATCTAAACAGTGGGCGTTTACTGTGCTCATTTAAGGTGAGAATAATATTGTATTCATGGCAAAGTTTTCTATTCTAATACTCTATTTAAACAATAAATCAATAAGATTTCATTCGTTTCATCTTCATTCAATATTAATTCACAGTAATTTTCTATTTTCTCTTCTATGCTCTTTAACTCAGTCTTTCTAGTCTTCTTCTGTTGGGGTTTCTATTCTGGTTGGTGTTACATACTACTTATATCGACAGATATAAGTAGCATACATCACACTCTGAGTAATTTAGTAACTAAACAATTCAAATATCTAGGTATTCATAATCCAATCGACAGGCAGCCTTGTCTGAATCCGGTCCTTACTTAGAATGCATCTGTGAGCTATCCTCCATGCACCACTTTGCACTGTAGTTCGACGTATGAATTTCGGATGATGTTGACAATCTTCTCAAGTAAACCGGTTATCAAGAATCCTACAGAGTAATTGTTTAAAACTGATCAATAATAATTTTTTAGGTGGATTTGGAGATTATCACATCTATACTACTCAGATTGTTATTTATCCTCATTCATCGTTGTTTTCATTGACTTGCTCATCTATCAATAATTCAAGATGGTACAAACCGGTGTTTTGTAAAAAGATCATTCTTGCATGTATATGTGTTCACTATGTCCCGTCAATATCTTAATGGATTTCATGATATAGAAGTTTGATATCATCAATCTAATCCATTTCATGAGTGATAATAGATTCATATTATATATGTTCACCAAAATCTCCTTAATAACATTCAACACAAGATGTTGATTATCATTCTGACCTTTTACCATACTTCTAGTCTTGATATATTTAGAAATGAGTTGTTTTATTCAACCCCTTATCTTCATGAACAACCTTTAACGTTGTAATAAGTACTTTATTAATTTATTTCTAGATTACATAGAAATGTCTGGATGGGTTAGCAGGTGAGACTATATTCTATGGACGATCTTTGAGCGATGCTAAAGTAGCCTTGAGAATGTCCACCTACTAACTAGGACTAAATGAGGATTTTAAACCTGTATGAAAAGTAAGGGTTGTGATTTACATCTGATGGTTAGGAATAGGGATTATGAACTAGTATCAGCTAAAATGCCAAGATACTATATAACCGAATAGATAAAGAAGTTTGCGCTGAAATCTAAGATTTCTTATCATGAATCTGATTGCTTTGTCTATTTATTATTATAGTCTCGCCGCTTAGAATATGTTATGAACAGACTACATTTTGGGAAGTAAAATATCTTCATTAATTGATCACTTGGTCTTCAGTGAGTTGTACAGGCATCTCGAGATTATTTGCACTTGAAACTGCTTTAGTAGATATGGATTTTAACTATCAGTCAAATGCAGGACATTTGTCGTTTTATATTTATGACTAGTCTAGGAACTCTTACTGTATACCGCTGTTAATGTTCACATTCAAATTTAAACCTAGTGCTTATTTATTCAGATGCTAAATCATGATCCATCAAGTTACATCTAGCTGACAAGTCTCCAATAAAATAAAACCAAAGTCCTTGGATTCACTGTTCTGACTCAATTTAAAGAATGCTGAAATATATCTGAATGAATTATACATAAGTAATCACCTTTAAAAAGCTCCAAGATTCAGCAGTACATCTTATTGTGTGGTTTATACTACTTAAAGAATTGTTAAACCAACATTAATATTATGATGACCCAATGTTGTCATATTCATGTTATGAGCTTAATGACAATAATGAACATGAATTTAATGAATTCTATTGGATATAAGAACTACTAAATATAAATTAATGCATTATGTATGTTAAATTTATGAGTTGATCTAATCTAGACCACAATTGAAAACCTGAAAGCACTGAACCGTCGTTTTGTCCTAGTATGGAAATCTTCGCCCCTAAATGCCCTGGTACAGCCGAGAGTGTGAGAGTCAGATCTCTCTCTCTCTATACGAAATGATTCACGTGGACACGCATATACAACCACTGCCAGGGAAATCATATTTACTGCGTTCTCACGGAGAGAGTAATGTTTATGAAATTGTGAGAACGAAAAGCGAATATCCGGAGCTTTATCCAAGTTTCAGCATATATGGAGGATCAACCTAGGGGAGTTGTATGACCCAAATTCCAAACCGATGGTGTATATGGACTCTAGGATCTTCAGCGCATAAATGGCGAATGAACCTATTGTTGGTCACCGACTAACATGAAACTGCATACCCTGATGATGCTCCACTGTCTTGTGGATCAGATCTTTATGTCGAAGGCTTAGGGTATGACTCCTGAGAAAATTACATTTTTCGCTTTGAGCACACGACCAATATCTCAGCCCTCACATAAATCATTTGATTTATGTGGCGCATATGTATTTGATGCCCTCTTCAACCAATCCTTATATGTTTAAATAAATAATAATAAATATGGGAATCCCCAGATTCCTACTTTCAATGGTAGTCTATCTCAGATTGATTCAAGAACTCAACTATTAAAATTACTACAATCTCCCCTATTCTGATAATTATTTCTGAATAAGGAACATGAACATTCTACATGATTGTTATGAAATAATAAAATTCTTAGCACAAAACTATGTTACTGTGAGGACATCACAGGTAAACTTGAGGAAGCTGTAAGAAGCTCAGAAAAAGCCGAATATATTTCATCTAATCACCTTTTGGAAGAATATTCTAAAATCCCTACGTGTAGCTTCCCGATTGGACAATGCTAATAACTCCACTGTATGCGAATTGGAAGACTGTCATAATGATTTCGTCTCTTTCTAAAAACTATAATACCTGACACTTTTGTACTATAATTGACACTGTCTGGTAATAACATTCTTTTCACAAGTCTTCTTTCTTCTCATTGCGACTTGGAAAGGTTCTAGAGTTCTAGTGCTGAAGTTATACGCGGTATATCAAGAATATAAGCATCTAGATATAACAGTTACCTTCCATTTTACACACAGTTAATCAATGAATAAACTAATTTAAAGAGTTTATCAATGATTCTATACCATCTATACAAGTATACTGTTAAAGATTCTTTGATATACTTCACCATGGCAACTATATTCTGATTGTTTTCTTTTCTTTTCTTTCTTTAAACTTATTGTTTTATAGGTTTGTCATTCAATATTACCTTATATGTTCATAATCAGTTCAATTGTATTACTTAGTTTTATAGCTATACATAAATCACGTATACATCATGTAAATCCTTGTTCGAATCCTGATAACATTCATAGAAACTGGAAAATAGAACAATCAATTATTCCATTAAAATCATCAATTCATCATTCCAATTATCAACAAACTTTATTTACTGAACCAACACAATTAACAATTTGTTTAAGTCTTATGTATATTCTATTTGATTTAGCTGATCTTATTGAATGGTTCAATGGTAATATTATAATACCAAATTATATTCATTCATTTAAACAACATTTCAATACAAATTTCAATGAAAATTATAATATTAAAACAAATCATTCAGGCTTATTACCACTACTTACAAATACATTAAATAGTAGTATGTTATTAACAAAATCTATGAATCAACTATGTTCTATTCAATTTATATCTGGCTTATTAAGAATATGGTCTAGTCAAAGATTCCTATTCATATTACCAATGTTATTATATCAATCATTGAAATATCGACATTTAATCAAATACTATTTCACTTATTATTTTCATACATTGAAAATCTTACATTGGTGTAAATTTAGTTATAGTTCATCAATCTATATAAAACAAACATTGAATACATCAGTGGATGATATTATTCAAACTGAATTGAATGAAATGAAAACTACTGATGAAGAAATAAGTAGTGAACATCATCAATATCAACGTCAACAACAACAGCGACAACGACGACAACAACAACAACAACAGCAGACTATAATGAAAGCTGAATATCAAGATGAGTATCAAAGAATTCCTAGTCTTTATTGTTGTTCATGTATTAATCAAAGTATTCTATCAAAATGATGTAAATAAATGATAAATAACAAATGTTTGTACATGGATTGTGAAAAGTTAACAATTTAACTCATTCTCATAAGTTCACTTCTGCCATGATTATCAAATTACACTATATTCTTAATCAACTACTTTAAATAAAATGTTGAAAATCGAATTGACATATCTGATATACACCATTTTCTAATCAATGAACTACATAATAATGTATTATGATGTGTACTACTAATATGGATAGATATAAGTAGTATGGATTATTCACCAAAAAGTGAAATAACTGACGGTAAATAATTAAAAAGATCAATGACAAGAGAATGATGTGAAAACAAAAGAATAATGAATTCTGATGATTGATCTTTTGCATATGAAGTAATTACTGTATGACTCTTAGATTTTACTAAGACATTCTGTAATATTGTGTTCAAATACATTTGCTCGTACCAACTGATGTTCTCGTACACTACAGTAGTATATTGAGAGAAAAAAAAAACCATAACGAATAGATTCACAGTTCCCGAAAGTTAAGAATTGCATATAACTTACAATAAAACATTGACTAATTTTGTGTTATATTCTAACCATAAACTACAACATAACAGCTCAATCTTAAGTATTACTGCAGGGTTTAAGAAATTACTTCTTATTACGCATCATCAACATTTATTTGTCAGTATTTGTTGTTTTGCAATGATGGATAAACTTCTTAGTTGTATACAAATTAATTCGCATTATATTAGGTAAGGATGGTGAATCAGTTGATGAGGCTGTAAATCTACATCAACTGAGATGATTGGGCCACATGTTATGTATACCTGAACATTGATTACCACAACGCGAAATGCTGATTAGTGTTGGAGACGGTTGAATGTAAGTTACGGATGGTCAAACCAAAATGCGACATCAGTGCTTGAGGTCACTAACTTCTGGTCTGAGCCATTTTGGTAGATGCAGACTACTTGGTTTGAGTCCACGTGACTTTCGTGACCAATGGTTGGAGACTCTCAATGACATGGCTCAGAATCGAACACAATGGCATAGATGTATACACTCTCTGCCTTCTGTTAAATTGTGAGATTAAACTATTTCTACGTTTTTCTTATACTTAATCTTTCTTTTATATGTAACTACTATTGAAGTAACTCTATCTATGAATTTGGTGTTCATCTTGTTGTGCCAATGAGGTATAACAGCTTGAACCGACTTATGTATATGCTCTTGGTCCAACGTTTTAGCTGACTGACTGACTGACTACATTTCATACAAACAAAATAGCTATTCAAACGTATTATTTCTATGTACACAGTTCCATTTATCATCTTGAACAATAGCGAAACGAAGGATTCTGACAAAATAACATAAGTTCAGTAGATTTCATTAGGTGTCTATCAACTTTTCCTCACAGTTCATAAACATTTGACAGTAAATATATATCATCGTGATCATCATGAGACATTTGACCAGGAGATTTAGCTTGCATTAAATACTCAGTTAACGGGATATTATTTATTGGACTCAGATATTGAGGACATTAGCCTCAACATACTGGTTATCCGCCGTTTCAATATTAACGATTGTTATTTCAACATTATAGAAAGCTCCATCATGTTCTAATTGGATGGAAACCCTTTGGTTCCTTTAGGGCTTCTGGAGGTTGCGTCGTAGTTTTTGGAAGCCGTCCCAAAAATACGTTCTGTAAGTTATTGCGATTTTATGCCAGACGCTAAAAAACATTCGAGAATATTACTTGAAATAGCACCAAAAAGACCGTGAGCACAGTGCTGATTGATCATATAGTAAACAAATTGAACAAATTTAATGTTCATTGGGAAAATATATGAGACAAGTTAAATTAATACAAAAAGATTCCTGTTCATTGTTTTTCAATTTCCATTGATTCCTGAGATGAGATCAGTCCGAGACAAATATCGCATATAGACTTAAATAATCTACTTCTAGATGATTTCCTGAAGTTCAAATGTAAAGTAGTCACTAATCGATTTCATACATTTCTGAACACAATCACTTGCTACTGATAGAACTGGTCAATGGTCACACTATATGGCCAACTAATTCAATTCGGTCATGTATATTTGGAATCCTGAAGAGAAAAGGAAAAAGAGGTAGATCAAGATACACATTGCGTCGGAATTGAAAACAGATACCAAAAAACCAATTGCAACTAGAGAGGATAGTCTAGGACAGAATTCAATAGGGAATTCTGAAGGGAGGCCTATGCTCCTCCACGATGGGTAACAAGCGTAAATAAGTAGCACAGTTAAACGATAATCCATTTCTTAAAAGATCTAAAACTTTTGGTCTAACATGAGACTTGATAGTACAACACTCGACAGGGTATACAACTTTCATGATTCTCACAACAGTAAGGAACAGTCATGTATTGCTCCTGATTTTTAAATCCCTTAAGCTTCAAAAGATCAGGTTATTAATTAATCATCTTGTAAGGTTTCTTAGTTTCTTTCTGATATTCTAAGTACTAAAAAAACACGAGAAAATCCATTACTAAGAGTCGTTTCTGAAATATGCTCTAAAACTGTAGGGTAAATCCTTCTTTTCGTCCTACCAATGGAACTGCTTTAGAGGGTATACACAAGTTTATGAACGTCATTGAAGGTAACGTGAAAGAAGTATATTTTGAGGTGAGTCAATAAACATAGTTAATATTTAAATATCACTTTACCTGCATAGTATGTTTTGATTAGTACAACGTTATCCTTTCTATTATTTGTCCTTTTAACATTTTCAACGTAAAAGTGTGGGTAATCATGGGAACCTGAAAAGATACGTTTTTATAGAATATTTTAGGTAGTTTTGTAATCATAGTAACAGATTATACAAACAGCTATTTATGGAAACGATTGGAACTGTTTTCTCTTTTGCATCAGATATTAAACTTAGTTAAATAACCATTAAAAACTAAGAAGTAAACACGTAGCTACTTCATTTTAGTGCCGGAATCCTCGACAATGTTGTTATAATCGAGCGAAGATTAAATCACGAGTAACCTGCGAGGACTATTAATGGACTAATATTCTATAAATATTCTTACTGTATAACTATTGCATAATTAGATTATGTATACTTATATTCCCCTTATTATAAGCTTCCTTTTGATCTATAGATTATTATGATACGAGTTACTGTCCTTAAATTATGCTTCATTGTGTACAAATGTTATTTCCTATTTTATGGTGCGTTGCGGTCTGTTTGTTTGATAAATAAACCCAGCATGTCCGAAATAAATGATTCGATTCGATTTGCATAATGGGAGCTGGTATTTGGTGTTCTGGACTCAAGTGGACGGGCTAGGCGGCTCATACTTGTCTAATGTCATTGGTTTGGAACAGTGCTATGATTGTAAAAGTCGTATTTTGATTAGTGGATAAATCACGTGATAACTAGCCGGACATAAAGTCACAAAAAATGTGCATTGCCGATCTCACTAAAGGATAGAACTTATAACATTTAACTCTCTATGCAAATTCTTAATCTTCAGACCAGTCAAACTGTATCCAGTAATTCACAAATTTAACTTCAATTAATTCATTTCTGAAGAGGTTAGCACTAGGACAAAACAGTTAACCTGTGTTACTTAGCTTCCAATTTTCGTCTAACTAAAGTCATTACGCATTACATAGTGATATTTAGACATGAAATCATTATTTCGACATCAAAGGACGTATTGATATCAGTTATACATGTGATAAGAACAAGAGAGCATTGAATTAATGTTACATCTGTGTGTGAACTTTCACAAGTACATGCTATCATGAATACATACAACAAATACGATACATTAGAACTAGAAAGAAAGATCCAGGATAGATTTGGTTGGAGAATGCTAGTTGGTGGCTTATACCCTATTAGAGGTAGCATACGTATGTAAGTAAGTACACTGAATATCATGACGCTTCTTCGACAGATGTTTGATCAGTCGTGAAATTCACACATTTATTCAATAGACTGATACAAAACAGTAACATCTAAAAATACGAATAAGAAGCGTTATGACACCGAATTCTCAAAGAAGCAAGTTTTAAAAAATCTATTAAAGAAACTGTTTTGTAGTGAATGAGAACACAAGGAAGGATAATCATTACAAAACATCCTAGTAGAATCTAAGAATCATACAGTAAATACTTCATTTACAAAATGTCAATCAATTGTTTCAGACTTCACTGTACTTTCATTTCCATAACATTCATTCTTTATTCCCGTTCCATTTTCTTCAATCTTCTTAACATTCTGTCGTCAGGTATTTCACTTTTAATTGATGATACATACTTACTTACTTACGCCTGTTACTCCCAATGGAGAATCCTCCATCCAACCCTGTCCTGGGCAATACTTTCCAGCTCCTTCCAGTTCTTATTCATCCTTTCCATATCTGCTTCCAATTCTCGATGTAATGTGTTGTTAAGCCTTCCTCTCCTCCGCTTCTCTTCAAGATTCCAAGTCAGGGCTTGCCTCAAGATCCAGTTTGATGAGTTGCGTAATGTATGTCCTATCCGTTTGCATCATCTCTTCCTAATTTCCTCTTCAACTCAAAACTGGTTTGTTCTCTCCCACAGAAGACTGTTACTGATAGAATCCGACCAATTCTGGATGTTGAGTATCTTGCATAGACAACTATTCATAAATACATGTACCTTGTTGATGATGGTTGTAGTAGTTGTGCAAGTTTCAGCTCCGTACAGTAGAACTGTTTTGAAAATCGTATTGCAGATTGTGACTTTGATATATATTGACAGTTGTTTTGAGTTCCATATGTTCTTCAATTGTAGGAATGCTGCCCTTACTTTTCCAATTCTCACCTTTACGTCTGCATCTGATCCACCTTGTTCATCGACGATGCTGTCCAGGTAAGTGAAGGATTCCAGAGTTCCTCCATCAAGTGTGATTGTATTTGTGTTCTCCGTGTTGTAATTAAGGATCTTGCTCTTCCTCTTGTATATGTTGAGGCCTACACTAGTTGTCCTCATTTGCATTTG